AGGTACCAAGAAGTAGGAGGGCAATTATGAGAGGCTTGATGATCTGGTGCTATCCATGCCTCCAGTGTGACAAGATAAGAGTGAAAGATGCCCCCAGTTGGAAGATACATTCAGCAACTCATGTCCACAGTTCAGTTAATTTATAGACATATTAAAATGCTGTCCATATTTATCTGGAGATACAACTATATTTTTTAAACTCAAATGGTGAGAGCACAAATTATTATTATTATTGTTATTATTATTATGACATAATTTCTGATAAGAAAAATTCATGTAGACCTTAAACTTCTGGCTTTAGCCACAAGTTTGTTCCAGATACATTTTGTGCTGAAGCTGCCAAGCACCAAAACTATTCTCTTGCATCTATGGCCTGCAAAATTTTCCCATAGCAAAAACAATTTAGTAATCAAGTCACCATAGGAAAGACAAAAATAGCACAGAGAACATCAGAACTGGAGAGGAATCATATAGAATCTAAATAATATTATTATCAAATAACAGCTAAATAATGCATCTAAATACAACCTCAATAGGAAACACAGACAAAAATATTAGATGAGCTCGCAACTTCAAGTCAGTCTTTGGGGGAGTGGATTTGTCTTTGTTATCAGAACTACCCAAAATCTTCCAGGAGCCTTTGGTTCACTAAGGATCATAATAAAATCCCATGAGGTTTTCTTCATGCACAAGGAAACTGAGGTCCTACATGCCAAACCACCAAGGGTGCCAGTGAGGAACTGAGACCCTATACCACATTTTCCATACAGCAGTGCAGAAGTCAACCTGATTAGCATTTCCTGATTAATTGACAGTTTGAACATGTTCTTTCTTGGATTCAATCCTGTCAATTTGTAACCTTTGTATATTTTTTTCCTTTTATGTTAAGGATTGAACTCAGGGCCTTCCCACTGAGCTGTACCTCCAGACATTTTTTATTTCATATTTTTATTTTGAGACAGGGTCTCACTAAGTCTCTAAGTTGCCTAGGCTTGGCCCAAACTTGTAATCCTCCTGACTCACTCTCTTAAAGTGATGGGATTACAGGAGTTAGCCAACATGCTTAGCTCACTTAGCTCACACTTTCAGTGTTAAAATGACAGTTTGGAAGAAAACATAGGTCTAGTAAAGTTTACTTTTAGGAATATTTGCTCTTTTAAGATCCTTCATTTCAACTTCTATCATGGACCCAGACCACTTGTCAAATTGACATAGTATTTCAGCACAAGACCAGTTATGCCACAGTGCTGAATCATGGGAGACTTAGCATGAAGAAGAAGCACAGCACAGAAACTGGAGGAACTAGGGAGATGAAGAAGAGGAAAAGATTCACGTTTCCCTGGGTCAGTCAGTCTGCACACACTTCGAACAGCGTGTAATGTCCTGTTTGTTCCCTGTGTCAGTTCGTCTCACCAGATGTTTATGAAACACCTCTGGGTACTGGTACCAGTTTTCACCTCTGACCAAATAGATAATGTTAGCGTGCGACTCACTTCTAGAATCCACTTTCTTTTAGAGGTACTATCTGTACTTTGCAAATTTAAAATAGGAAGAATTAGACCCATTGCTCAGTGTCTAAATCCTGGGAATGAATAGAAATAGGACAGTATGCAGGGAATGCTTCCCTGCCGAAATGTCCTTTCCTGAACTCCACTCTTCTTTCCCCCAAGTCACGTATCACTGTGTCCTGACCCCAGAAAACCCCAGGCTCCTTTCCACTGGTGCTGTTTGATTCAAAGTTGGTAATTCACAGGCTGGACAGGTCCTAATTCAGCACCTACTATGTGCAGAGGAGCAGTCTTCGGGTATCTGGCATAGAGTGGTGACAGGCAGACCAAGCCCTCTATGTTCTATAATTCCTCCTTCACACTAGGGGACAGAAAATGAGTCAAAAAGTAATAACCAGGATGATTTCAACTTGCCACCAACATTATGAAAGAAACAATAGAGATGGAAGTGTAATACAGACGGAGCATGGAGATTCAGCACCGTAGCTGATCAAGGTCAGGCTCTCCATTTAAACTTAAACTCTGAGTGTCCTCGAGGCTCACTGGACTCCATGAGACCCCAGCGAAGTTTTCTGCTGCCAAGACAAGACAATTCTGTTCTTAATTAATGGCCAAACGCCATAAAGTCCAGTGAAAGGCAGGCAGCTGTAGAGACAGAGCAGCATATTCATTTAGTTCTTTGGCTGACTCTTCATGCTTTCAAGGGAGAGCAGTACCCTAACTGCGCCTCAGTTCTTGGGCAGCAGTGAGGGCTCCTGGTAAAGCCCACACTGACCATGTGAGCTGGCATGCCTGGCGCTCCCACACCAGGAAGCCGTGTACTCTCCCTGAGGACCCAGGATCAACACAGTTCAGTCTCTAATCATCATCAGTCAGATCAACAGGTCCAAGTTGACTTTACTTTCATCATTTTCCCCCAATAATGGTTTGATGGCCCATTAAATTCAGCTTTCAGAAACAAAAGATTTTCTTATTTGGATAAATCATGTCATGGTCAAAAGAAATTTTTGTTACTACTCCCCACTTATTGCCCAAGAAAGTGGGGGGAAAACTTGTATTTGATGCAGCCACTGTGCAAGCCAAAAAATGCTGACAGAAAAATTATTCTAAGTATGTTTTGACCCCAGAGTGACACAGTGGCTAGGACCATGTATTTATTACTGTTTTAAAAGCTTGACTTTCACAGATCCTAAAATTATGACTATTTCTCAAAATCAAAGACCATAAGTGATGGAAGACATGGCTTCGTTCTTTAAGGGGCTCACAGCTTAGTTGAAGAAAAAGCTACACAGTTACCTGTAGAAGTGTAAAACAGTACAAAATTAAGCTGTACTGCAAGCTACAAACCAAGCAGATTATAGTGGTGAAGTGGGCCTGCAGGAGAGACTGGACTCAGCAGGTAGTACTTGATGGCAGATGTACGGTTGCAAGGATGGGGAGGATTTAGACAGGAGGAGTGTGGAGAACTTTGAGTGAGTGGAATAAAAGTTACTGCCCAGACCTGGCCCTGGACCAAAGCGTTTTTATCAGACAGGATGGGGCTGGGAACACACACAGCAGGAGTCCATGTGTGGAGCTATTGGGAACTGGTCAGATGGATATTGCTCCATGCTGTCTGTCATGGGGACGGCAAGTTTCATCAGCTACAGATGCCTGCTGAGGAGTTTTGTAAGAGTTTGACTCATACTGATACTCTACCCTGCTCAGTGGACCTGGGCACATTGTTGGTGATTTGTAAATATTTGTATTATTTGTAACTTGAATGGTGTCAAGGTGGCTCATAGTGGGTGTGGGTTAATTTGAACATAAAGACTGACAGAAAACATCACCCCTCAACCAAAGTCATTGCAAGGTCATTAAAACATTATCCTAAATAGAGAAGTGTCTAAAGGCTTATTAGGTGCACTTCCTCCCGTTGATGAACACTTCAAAGAAAAAGAATTTTCACAGTTACTAGGTACATAGTTTATTCTTGGTGCTTTTTTCAGAGAAGATGAGGATCCCAGAAAAGTTAAAATTCTTTAGAGTATACTTTATGCTTCTTGTAATTATATTTACATTTTTATTGTTTTGAAACCTACAATCCCACATCTATTGGAGTCATTAGTGGAAATGCCATCTCGCCTAGTGTTTGTTCACCACAGTCACTCAACCCAAAGTTCGACTTCAGTTATGGATTAACTCCACCAGGAAATATTTTAATATGAATGCATACTTTTGAAGACAATAGGCTCCTTTTTCTCTTGTGGCCTGAGTCATTCAAGAATGAGTGGCTTTGATAATTCCTCAAACACATAAATCTGAGTTAACCCTGAATCTTAGAGAGAATTGGCATGGCCCATCGTTCTGGGTTAATAGTCCAAGTGAAGGAACAAGAATCCATTTTCAAACCAAAATGAATCTGAGTGGGAACTCTGATGGCCAAACATATCCCTGCTTACCTGTCTAGGCATCAGAATCTACAGGATTCACCCACATCTGCCAGTCCAGCGGAAACAGGCAACTTTGAGCAATATTATCACAATCTCCTTCCCTAAGCCACCATACCCTCCTTGTGAACAAAGGTTTACATTAAGCTTTAAGGCATGCAAGAGACTTTGTCTTAGGGCTTTAGAGATAGATTTCTCCAAAGTAATTTAGAATTTCAGAAAGACCTCACACCTCAGGTGTGACAGCACTTCAGGGAATTCTAGAACTTTCTCATATCCCAGTTTTGATCAGTATGCCCCTTATATATCTGAAACAAGTCATCAGATGTACAAAAATATTTGTACCCTTCATCTTATAAACTGGGTCATCCAGTTTGTTAACACCCAGTGTGTTAACACCCATTTAGATTCAGAGAATATTTCATTCTTAAGAGCAAAAGCACTATTCACTACTGTTTATGTTGATATAATCATAGAAAGTATAGCCCTTTTCTGTACTCTTAACTTTTTTCTGTAGATCTCAGTTTATCCATCTGTACATGGGGAATAAAATAACGTCTCTAGATCAGTGTTAGATTTTGCTGATGAATGTTGAAGAGTGCCTGGAACACAGTTGCTCACCAAATCGAGGCTTCTAACAATGAGGATGATAATTCCCTAATTTTTACACCTTCATGTTTCCCCCACCTTTCAGGATCCACACACATGTTCCCATGTGAACTTAGACAACCTATTACTTGGGCCAGAAAGAATACATTTCTTGGCAGAGACTTTGCCATTCAGTATATTTTCAGGTAACTTGGTTAGGCTCATGGATGCAGTGGGAGTTTTACTGACCCTTTTGGAGCCTGGGGCATCTGCAGAAAGCAAGTTCTTTGATTATAAGTCCTACTACCACTGGTCAGCAATTTACAAAAAGACCCTCAGATAAAGGGCACTTGTATTATTTCCTGTGAATGTTAAATTGTGGACTGCAGCAACCAGGATCTTAAATGAATTAGGGGGTTCTCAAGAATGTAGAGTAAGTGACATGTCTTTCTTTCCTCTCCCCTCTTCTCTGCAGGTTAACCTCAGAGCCACCGATGTCAGGCTCATGCGCCAGCTGCTCGTAATCAACGAGAGCATTGAGTCCATCAAGTGGATGATTGAGGAGAAAGCCACCATCACCAGTCGAGGCAGCAGTCTCAGTGGCAGCCTGTGCAGCTTACTAGAGAGTCAGAACACCTCCTTACGGGGCAGCTACAACAGCCTGCAGGACGGCAGCGATGGGCTGGACGGCATCTCTGTGGGGAGCTACCTGGACACTTTGGCAGATGACGTCCCGGGACATCAGACCCCATCCGACTTGGACCAGTTCAGTGACAGCTCCATAATAGAGGACTCTCAGGCACTGCACAAGCACCCCAAATTGGATTCTGAGTACTACGGCTTTGGCTAATGACCCAGTTTTTTGCATAGGACTGTTGTGCAATAAACTTGTATCTATCCTTCTTCTCAGCTGCTATATTTTTGGTGTTTTTTTTAAAATAAGAAAACCTTTTTGAAGAAGCTTATTTTTAAACTGCTTAATGGTCTTTCTTTTGCTCCTAATATTTCTCATCTAGATTGATTTATTTTTCTCTGTTACATCTCTATTTATATTTATTACAATAATTTTTCTCCCTTTTACTGTAGCACAAAGTAGGGGGAAAAGAATAAGCAATAAGTGTGTTTTTGCTTTTGTTTTCAGAGCAAGGGGTCAGGGATTATAAGAAATACTTTGCTAAATTTTACAATAAACCAAAGTCTGATAACTGTTAAGTTTATTGCTGGTGTTCTTAAATAACTCAAGATTTTAGTTCCAAAATATAACAAAATGTATTTTTATTTGTATATTAGGTTGAATAGAATGCTTAGAACAAAATTAGCATAATTTCTCGGCCACAACATCCTAGTGTATAATGAAAGCTACTGTTAGTCATATGCTTCTATGTGACCATTATTTGAAAGCCCCCAACTATCTGCACTTTGCTCAACTGTAGATTAGCACTATGTCATTACCAAGTTTAACTGAAACCTTGGACTTATTTATGTGATAATATATATTATTCTACCAAATTTCAAAGAATAATTGAGATTAGTTGTAAAGGTGATTAGAGGAAAAGATGTCCTAACCTTAGATATATTTTGAGATGTTGTTGGCATTTCCTTGTATGAATTTGCCATTCTGATAGGGTATAAATGCATAGATGCATACGTGCAGATGGAAGGAGAGATTGATTGATATATAGATAATAGATATAATAGAGAAGCAGAATCATTATTAATTTGTGAAGTTCAGTATGATATTTTTTCACCATGGTATAAACAAATAATCTTTCAGTTTTCTGAAATGATGCCTAGAAATATTATAACTCATGTGGTGAATGAAAATATTTAGTTTTGATGTGACACTATTAATCCTCTACATTTATCTTGATGATTCCTAGTGAGATGATTTAATTAAGATTTCAACCTCTTCTTTGTAATGATGTATGTTTTTGCACCACTTTCCAACATGAGTCAAAAAGCCTTCTTATAATTGAAAAATGTTCATATTCAAAAATGTTTTCTCCCAAATTTCTTGCTATTATATACTCATTGCACACTTGTCAAATTTATTGTTTACCTCCAAGACATATATCATTCAATTTGCAATTAAAGTTTTTCAGGGCCTATGTTATACATGAGTGTTTTCCCATAAATTGCTTGACATAATCTGCAAAACAGCTATTTCATGGTGTGAGGACTGTCAGTGTTCTACACTTGTCTTAGTTACTTTCTCATTGCTAAGCCAAAATACTCAACACCCACAAGTTAAAGGAGGAAAGGTTTATTTCAATTCCCAGTTTGTAGAGGTTTCGGTCCACAGTTGGCTGGCTCCAAGGCAGGGCGCCATGGCAGAGGGGCATCTCAGAGGAGAAACAGTCCATGGCATGGTGGACAGGAAGCAAAAAGCAGTACCAGCAGCAAGCCTCCCTTTATATTCTCTCCAGACTACACCTCACCCAGTGTGGGCTTCCCATTAGGTACACCCAGAATTAAGCTAAACCAATTAATGGACTAATGCAGCACCACACACTCTTAAACTCTATATCACACCCTTAATCTACATTCATACACCCTAGATTCAGGCACCTCTGAAACACCCCACTCATGACTGCATGAGGCTTTGTGGGGACATCTAGATACAATCATAACAATACTTAAGGAAACTAAGGCACATAGATAGTAACTAGGTCAAATATCCAGTAAGTGTCAAAGCTAGAATTGAAACTTGGGTATGTCTTATCACTAACAATGACACTCCATAATCTCTTTGCTACTTACTGACATTAAATAACAAAATGTGAATAAGAAAGAAAATTTAATGATCAAAACAATAATGTAACAAACTTTTTTTCTGTAATCAGTAGTATCCATTTTTCCCCATTCTGAATTTACCATGTGCTTTCTTGTAATCGCACATTCAGAGTCATTTTCATGCCTAGTGGTGAGTCCGGGAGTTGGCCACACAGCAATTGTTCCTAATATAGTCCTCCCTTTCTATACATTTTTATTTTCAATTTAGTATAGGCTGCTTGGTTGGCTATTTTGTTTGATTTTAATCTGGACTCAAACTAAGAATTTTTTTGCATGAATTGTTTATCAAATTAAAATTAAAGAGTACACATTGTGACTCAATAGAGAAAACATTCTTAGAAGGAAGACCAAAGAATTTTAAACAGAAAGTCATGAAATATGTAACCATCTGTCCACAACATCGCAAGAAGACTATTCTGAACAAGAAAGAAATGGGCAGGCAGAAATTTAAAAGGGAACAAGAGCAAATCTAACCCATTATTTTCCTAGAATGGGCTATGCATATGAGAGACAATTTCTGTTTTCAGATCACAGTTTCAGATTGGGAATTTATTCTGGCAAATTTCTTTTACACCTTATTTTTCCAACCAGCCTCCCTTACTATTTGTCTATAGCCTCCATAAATTTCCCCTCTGTAAAAAGGAAATGAAAAAAAATGGCTAAGACAATTATATAAGAGAAGTTTTTGGACTAGTTTCACTTATACATTGCTTTGTGAGGAACCTGTAATTAACATTGGCAGATATTTGAATTTTTGACTTTGTTAATGTCTCAATATTTCATATACTTTATATTTATTCAAACTATTTTTTGCAAAAGACAGCAAATATAAATTATATGTGATTTAGGGAATCACATAGAGTATACTCTAACAATTTTTCATAGTTGATTTTACTAAGAGAAGTGGGCTACATAGGCAAACAAGACTAATTACTAACATACTCATTGGGCTCAAGAGAATGAATGTGTAGAAGTCCCTCATTTTCAACTGGAAAATCTACACAGCTGATCTCTGATCTGGAACAGTTGATGTTTGATTCCTGTCAGCACCATGAGGAAATGGGGAAAGAGTTAAAACAAGTATTTTTCAGTGTATTCTGCCTGCCCTGAGTTATGCTTTCCCAGAGAAAATGGAATGCGTTCTACTTACATTAATCTATTTTATGGACTTGTTAGTCATCTCATGGAAGTGAAATAATTGAACATAAAGAATTCAAACAAGTTAAAGCTAGTGCATTTTTGCATTTTATAATAATGGAGCTCTATACAACCAACCAACTTAGAAATCTTAAATAAAAGGAATTTCCAATGTTTATCTGGCCAATGATCCCCAAATTACACAGTATAAAATGTTAATTTTCATTGTTTAAAAATGCAGTAAAGATTCCTTGCTAATGGATGGATTGTAAAGGCACTTGGATCACCACAAATAACTTTAATTCAGACATTTGTTTCTCCAATTCCATCAAAACACAATTGCCTGCATGATGCAAAACCAAATGCTTCCTTCAAGATCCTCATCTTATGGCTATCTCCCATAGTCTAACACATCTGATCCTTCCTTTTTGAAAGAATGTCTTTGCTTGCCCCCTAGGACATCCCTTTCTCTTAGCTTCTCTCTTTCTGCACAGTCTAGCTGTTTCCAAACCCCATTAGTGGATTCTTTTTCCTTTTCTTGACTTACAAACAAAAGAGTAACCCTGACCACAATTCCCTTCTAAAATAGGAATCTGTTCGATTTCACAATTTGGAATGATCCCTATATCCTAAGATCTCTCAGTGTACACCTTGTGCCCCAGTCTCTCTCCTGAGCTCCTCTATGTCCGCTTACCATGTGGCATCTCTACTTGATATTGGATAGGTGCCTCAGTCAGAACAGATCAAAGCTTGACAGTCTTTCTCATTTAATAAATGGTGTCTCCCTCTTCTCATCAGCTTCTCAAACCCTTGAAGTTATTTTTTTTTTTCTTTTTGAGACTGTGTCTCACTATGTAGTTCAGGCTGGCCTTGAGTTCTCAGTGGTCCTTCTGCCTCACCCTCCCAAGAGCTGGGATTACAGGTATGTGATACCATGCCCAGAAGAATTGATTCTCATTTGGTCTCTTTTCCTCACATATCATCCAGGTCATATAAGCTGCACTTGAGAAATAGACTCAGAATGCTGCAAATCCACATCATGACCTCAGCTACCCTCTAAGTGACCACCTCTTCTCCCTGAGATTGCTGCGATAGTCCTATCTTGTTTCCTTCCTACAGTCAGTGCTCAGCACAGTAGAATAATTTGGGGAGATACAAGTCAGTTTGCCAGCTTCTATTGCAGACTTGTAATGGGTTTCCATCTCTCTTGGAATCTAATCCAAATCCTTACCATACACAACAAAGTTCTGTGTGATCTGTCATCCTTCTGCTAGCTGCTTTATCTTCCATCACTCTCCCATCTCACGTGAAGCTGTGAAGCTGCTTTTGCATCCCTGTTATTCCTAAAAAACCCTCTAATCTGAGCATGTTCCAACCTCAGAATCTTTGTGTATCTCATTTCTTCTTTCTGAAATGTTCCTCTATGTATTTCTAAAGTCTCGATTTCCCAGTCCTTCGTGGTTTCCAGTCAAGTGACACCTTGTTTGCCAACTTCTTCTGTGGCACTCTCTGTGGTCCTGGCTCTGGTTCACTTTTCTCCATACCCTTTTACCACCATCTAACACACATGTTCATGCATACTCTGTTTCCCTACACAAGAATGCAAGGTCTATGAAAACTCAGATACTCTTGCCTACTGCTGTATGCCCCATCATCTAGAAGAGTATTGTCACATAGTAAACACCAAATAAACGTTTTCTTACAACAACAATTATTCATTGTTCTCTGAGTGCCTTCTAGATGCCAGGCAATGACTGTGTTATGTTCTGATGATGCAAAGATGAGGAAGGTATGAATCCTCCCCTGAAGGAGCTCATCTGTCTAGCATATTCTCTGGTAGGAAGAATAATGTCTTTTATTCCCACCTCCAAACATGTCCATGATGTTCCTAAGCAGTGGAACTTCTGAATGTGTTACCTTGTGTGGCAGAGGAGACTTTGAAGATGTGACTAAGAATTTTGAGATGGGATGATGACCATGGATGATCCAGGGTGGGAGGTGGGGAGTGGGTGAGGGGGAGAGAGAGGCAGGGGGGAAGGAGACAGAAGGAGAAAAAGATGAGGGAGAAGGGAAAGGGAGGGAGGGAAGGATGGAGGAGAGAAGATGAGAGGAGAGGAAAAGAGATCTTGAAAATACTAGACTGCTGGCTGCGAGGCTAGAAGAGGCCATAAACCAAGGCTGTAGCAAGGTACAATTTCTCTTTCTCAGCCTGACTTTAAATGACTGGTACATCAGTCTTCCACCACTTTTATGTAATCACAGTTATCATTGTTTAAATGTTTGGTAGAACATTTTCATTAAACACCAACCGACACTTCAATAGCCTCCCTTACCCCATGCATATTTGCGGAGCATGCTGAACTAGAGGCCTGGTTGAGCCAAACCAGAGCCAGCACTGGTGTCACATCCACCTGTGCTGGAGTGGAGGCGCGCTTCCAAACACTGCCCCAAGTCAGCTTCCTTCAAGGCTTTAACAGTGTGTTCAGGTTTGTTTACCCGATGTGGGAGGAAGAATTGTCAGAGGCTGTGTTACTTCATTCTCCCCTCATGAGGGATCCTGTACCAGCAGGGAAATATGTGTGTTCTTGGTATCTTTGGATTACTCTCAGAGTAATTTACAGCAACTGTTTTTACACCAGCCCAATCCACCTATAAATCAAATATAGTTGTAGCTGTAATCTCTGCATTTTCCCCTCTCCTGTGAAGGAGTGTCTGTGAGGAGCCTGTAGATTCCTAACTTCTCCATTGTTGATGCATTCCATTGACCTTTTCCTCAAAGTATTTGCTTTAAATTTTATTAAAGAATGTGTGCAGAATTATTATCAATGATTCCTTCAATCTCTGAAAATTTTGTCCATCATAAAAATGAACAGAGATGATTATATACATTCTGTTCGTCCCTCAAAATCTTATTTTTTTAATTCTAAGATTATATGGAAATAGGTCTGAAAATGCTGCTAGAGGACATGGAAAATAGTATCTCTTTTTGGAAATAAGGAAAATGAGGCAAATAGTAAGATTTGATAGACACTGGTAAAGTTAACTTTCTAAATTGTGTTTCTTAGGATTATCCGATGCACATTTATAGCTTAGTGTGAATGGCTCGAGGTGTGAAAAAATAATGAATTTCATTTAAAATTCAAATCATATAATGAGGAGATAAAAAGATATTTTAGAGATAAAAT